TTTTTTCTTCTCTGTTTGGGATTTTGGGGACCTAAAAAGGAAAAGTAAATTGATTACAAAATTTTGCCTGTCTGTTAGATTAGAGCAGCTGAAAGGTACAGAAATCTATGGATTTGCAACAAGAGCGAAATATGGGAAAAGGAACTTCTTTCCGTTTTGAGCGACTTCGATTCTCGTCGTCCGGGTTAAGGTGAAGGTTCGATTACATTCGCGCTCGTCTTACGGGACCCGTCCAAATGGATTATTTACTAGTACGCCACCCGCGCGTTGCGCGACATGATATTAAAATATGATGTGAAACGAATTATTATTTAAATAACAAAGAATATTCAAAAAATGTGTAGAGAGATAATAAAAAGTATAATGAAAACTTTATTTATTATATTTTAAAATGTTTTTCTAAATATAACATTATTAGTGGATGAACAATATTCATTATTACCATTATCATCATTAAAATAATAATCATCAGACAATAGAGATTTGTGACTATAGAAACAATAACATATAATTGGGTGTGATTATAAAATACAATATGTTTTTGTAATTAATAGTTTCAAATTAATTCAACTTCAACAACATTTGTGATATTCAATGTATTTGTCACATTGATAACACTTCTTGAATTTTTTGCCTAAAATGTTTTGATAATGACATAATTTTATTCATTAATAACTAAAGATATTATTACTACTATATATAATAATTGAAATAAACATGTACAAAATATGGTCAATCAAATTAAAAATATAAATTAAATACTTAAGAAAAAAATTATAAAAATGACTCAATTTCGAACTGCGCATGCGTTTACCTTCAAATTAGGTCCACATATCTTTCATTTTTTTTTTTTAAATTTGCTAAATAAATTTAACTTCATTAATTTGCAAAATAATTCCGATGGTGATCAGAATAACGTGCAAGATCGATCACCTTATGTAAAGTTACAAATATGCACAATAATCGTTAATGCTTCAGTAGCGATAAATTAGCAATAGTTAACATATTATGCTAATTGTATTCATCGAAACTTATAGTTGTATAATTGTGGATCAATAAAAAGATTAACTGTAGGCAATCACTTTAGTCACAAACTTTAGATGACCTCAAATTTAAATCCAAATGAAACAAATTATATCAACAAAAAAAAAATAAACAAACTAAGTAGTTTGGGCTCAAATTATTCAATCATTTAGGACCAAAACTATTACAAAAGACCTCATATACACCAAATATCCTATTAAATAATTGAATGATAAATTTATATTGTCCTACTTTGTCTATGTAGTCAATATCGTCCATCTCTCTCTCTCTTTGTCTATGTAGTCAATCTCTCTCTCTCTCTCTCTCTCTCTCTCTCTCTCTCCTTTATGGTTAAGAATTAACAAATTAATTTAAAATTTATCTAGCCATGAGAATTGGAGTTCAAGCTTCCAATGTATAATTATATATTTATTATGTATAATAAAATATTTTTAATTATATTTTAATGAGTGATCATATGTAGAAGGTGACATAACTTATTTCCCCGGTAATTAATGTATTTTTTAAAAGATTTGTTTTCCTCCAAGTGATTTCATTTATATATATATATTCAAATATAAATTTTACTATAAATGATTTTGTACAATATTAAGTCTTTATTTGTAACAATGTCACTAACTAAAAGAGAGAGAGAGAGAGAGAGAGAGAGAGAGAGAGAGATCCAATGGAAAATTTAAATGCAAATTCACAATATGTAATTAATTGTAAATTAAGTCCTTAATTGTAACAAATAATTACATTTATTGTATGTATGATAAATAATTCATACTCTAGTAATTAACAAAATATTAATTAGTAATAGATATAGTTGAAGCCAATTATTTATCCATGAAAATTGAAGTGCATGTTTCCAATGCATAATTAAGAATAACATTCAAATATTTATTTGTAACAAACAATTTTTGCATATTGTTTTAATTGTATTCACAATTTTCCAAGATTGCAATCAATATATAAGGATTAAAGTTAATTAAACTACAATAAATGTTCATACAATATTCATACAATATCTAAAATAATGTGAAAGTAATTATCCTACCATTAATACAATAATTAATTAAGCTGAAAAATTTCAACTACTCTGCTTTAATATATATCCTCCCTATATATAATTGCAGAATGCGCTGAGCCTACGTGGCTGCTTCTGGTGCTTCGGAATCCTATTTGGCGAAGAATTATGCTTCGTAATTAGGTTTGGACAAATAATATTAATATATTAATAATTAATAATCTAGGTTCGGGTATTCCATAAATATTATTTAGCTAACTTAGGTATTTTATTATCACTTTTACTAATATAACCCTTTAATTATTTGTAATTTTACATAGTGAGACACTAAGTGACTAATATATCCCTAAATTTTGATTTGCTTCCTTCAATAAGCTATTGA